GTTTTTGAAATATTAGGGGGGTCCCTTGTAATTTTAGGGGGCCCTTTGTAATATTATGGAGCCCCTTGTAATTTTAAAGGGGGTCCTTGTAATTTTAAATGGGGTTTGAATATTTTTGGGGGCCCCTTGGGAAATATATGGGGTCTTTGAAATATTAGGGGTTTCCTTTGGGTAATATTATGGAGTCCTTGTAATATTATGGGGTCCTTGTAATATTATGGGGTCCTTGTAATATTATGGGGTCCTTGTAATATTATGGGGTCCTTGTAATATTATGGGGTCCTTGTAATATTATGGGGTCCTTGTAATATTATGGGGTCCTTGTAATATTAGGGGGAGGCCCCTTTTGTAATTTATGGGGCCCTTGTAATATTATGGGGTCCTTGTAATATTATGGGGTCCTTGTAATATTATGGGGTCCTTGTAATATTATGGGGTCCTTGTAATATTATGGGGTCTTTGTAATATTAGGGGTTCCTTTTGTAAAATTAGGGGGTCTTTGAAAATTATTTGGGGGGTCCTTGTAATATTATGGAGCCCTTTGTAATATTAGGGGGGTCCTTGTAATATTAGGGGGCCCTTGGGAAATATTATGGAGTCCTTTAATATTAGGGGCCCTTTTGGAAATTTTTAATTATGGAGTCCTTGTAATATTTTTGGGGTCCTTGAAATATTATGGAGTCCTTTTAAATTATGGGTCCTTGTAATTTTTATGGAGCCCTTTGGGAAAATATTAGGGGGTCCTTGTAATATTTTTGGGTCCTTGTAATTTTGGGGGAAAGCCCTTTTAATATTAGGGGCCCCTTGTAATTTTATGGGGCCCTTTGGTAATATTATGGATTTCCTTGTTAATTTAGGGGGTCCGTAATATTATGGAGCCTTGTAATATTATGGGGCCCCTTGTAATTTTATGGGTCCTTGAAAATATTATGGGTCCTTTAAAAATTTTTGGGGTCCTTGTAATATTATGGGGTCCTTGAAAAAATTAGGGAGCCCTTTTGGAATATTATGGAGTCCTTGTAATTAAATGGGTCCTTTTTAATTTATGGGTCCTTTTTAATTTTTAGGGGGTCCTTGTAATATTAGGGGTTTATTATTTTTAAAAATCAAGGGGGAAGCGCAAAACCCGGGGGGGGATTATACAGCGCCGGGGGGGGGGGAAGGGGAAAAGGCATTCACCCTTAATTCGGGGAATTTGGGCACAAAACCCAAAAATTTAAACAAAATTAAAGACCCCCTAAACCAACATAAAGGGAAAATTTCCCTTGAGGGGTAAAATTATGGGCCCTTTTAAATATTAGGGGGGTCCTTTTTAATTTAGGGGGGCCCTTTTGTAATATTAGGGAGTCCTTTTTAATATTTTGGAGTCCTTGAATATTAGGGAAAGTCCTTGAAATATTAGGGGGTCCTTGAAAATATTATGGGGCCCCCTTGTAATTTTAATGGGGTCCTTGTAATTTTAATGGAGCCCTTTGGGTAATATTAGGGGGCCTTGTAAAATTAGGGGGTTTCCTTTGGGTAATATTATGGACCCTTGGGAAATATTTGGGGTTTTTTGTAATATTATGGGCTCCTTGAAAATATTAGGGGTTTCCCCTTGTAAATTATGGGGTCCTTGTAATATTATGGGGTCCTTGTAATATTATGGGGTCTTTGTAATATTATGGGGTCCTTGTAATATTATGGGGTCCTTGTAATATTATGGGGTCCTTTTTATTATTATGGGGGCCCTTGTAATATTAGGGGGTCCTTGTAATTTTAGGGAGTCCTTGTAAAAAATTATGGAGTCCTTGAAATATTTTGGGGCCTTTGGGAAAATTATTATGGGCCCCTTGTAATTTTAAAGGAGTCCTTTTTAATTTTTAAGGGCCCTTTAATTTTATGGGGTCCTTGTAATATTAGGGGCCCCTTGTAATTTTTTGGGAAAGCCCTTGTAATATTAGGGGTCCTTTTTTAATATTATGGAGCCCTTGTAATTTATGGGGCCGGGTAATAAAAAGGGGCCCTTTGTAATTTAAATGGGCCCTTTGTAATTTTATGGAGTCCTTTATTTTTATGGGGCCTTTTTAATAAATGGGGCCCCTTTAATATTATGGGGGTCCTTGTAATATTATGGGCCCCTTGAAAATTTATGGAGTCCTTGTAATTTAGGGGCCCCTTGTAATATTATGGGGGGGTCCTTGAATATTATGGAGTCCTTGAAATTTTTAAGGAAAGTCCTTGAAAATTTTATGGGGTCCTTGAAAATTTTAAGGGGTCCTTGAAAATATTAGGGGGTTCCTTTTTTAAAAAATTAGGGGAGTCCTTGTAATATTAGGGGGCCCCCTTGTAATTTTAAATGGGGTCCTTGTAATTTTAGGGAGCCTTGTAATATTAGGGGGGCCCTTTGAAATATTAGGGGGGCCCCTTGTAATATTATGGGGGCCCTTTTTAATATTAGGGGGGTCCCTTGAATTTTATGGGGTCCTTGTAAAAAGGGGGGGTTTTTGTAATTTAGGGGGTCCTTGTAAATTAGGGGGTCCTTTTTAATATTAGGGGTTCCTTGTAATTTTATGGGGTCCTTGTAATTTTTGGGGTTTCCTTGAAAATTTAGGGGGCCCCTTGTAATATTATGGGGTCCTTGTTTTTTGGGGGTCCTTGTAAAATGGGTCCTTGTAAAAATTATGGGGCCCTTTGAAAATATTAGGGGGTCCTTTAATTTTAGGGGGTCTTTGTAAAATTAGGGGGGTCCTTGTAAAAAATTTAGGGGAGCCCCTTTTAAATATTAGGGGGTCCTTGAAATTATATGGGGTTTTTTGTAATTTTAGGGGGCCCTTTGTAATTTCAGGGGGGGGGGGCCCCTTGAAATAAAATGGGGTCTTTGTAATAGGGGGGTCCTTGTAATTTTCATGGGGCCCTTGTAATAAAAAGGGGGGCCCTTTGAAAAATTTTATGGGGCCCAAAGTAATATTATGGTGTCCTTGTAATATTAGGGGGTTTCCTTGTAATTTTGGGGGGTCCTTGAAATATTTTGGGGTTTCCTTTTGTAATATTAGGGGGTCCTTGTAATTTTAAAGGGGTCCTTTAAAAATCATGGAGCCCTTGAAATATCATGGGGCCCCTTGAAATGCCCATGGGGTCCTTGTAATATCAGGGGTTTCCTTGTAATATTACGGGTCCTTGTAATATCAGGGGGGTCCTTGAAATAAAATTTGGGGGCCATTTTTAAATTTATTATGGAGTCCTTGTAATATTATGGGGTTTCCTTGTAATTTTTTGGGGTTCTTGTAATTTTTAAGGGGGCCCTTTGGGTAATATTATGGGGTCCTTGTAATATTATGGGGTCCTTGTAATATTATGGGGTCCTTGTAATATCATGGGGTCCTTGTAATATTATGGGGTCCTTGTAATATCATGGGGTCCTTGTAATTTCATGGGGTCCTTGTAATATCTGGGGTCCTTGTAATATCATGGGGTCCTTGTAATATCATGGGTTCCTGTAATATCAAATGGGGTCCTTGTATTCTTGGTCTTGTAATATCATGGGTCCTTGTAATATCTTGGGGTCCTTGTAATATCATGGGGTCCTTGTAATATTATCGGGTCCTTGTAATGTTTTGGGTCCTTGTAATATTATGGGGTCCTTGTAATATTATGGGGTCCTTGTAATATCATGGGGTCCTTATAATATCATGGGTTCTTGTAATATCATGGGGTCCTTGTAATATCATGGGGTCCTTGTAATATCATGGGGTCCTTGTAATATCATGGGGTCCTTGTAATATCATGGGGGCCTTGTAATATCATGGGGTCCTTGTAATATCATGGGGGCCTTGTAATATCAGGGGGTCCTTGTAATATCATGGGGTCCTTGTAATATCATGGAGTCCTTGTAATATGGTATTTAAATTCGTCTGGTGATCATGATAGGAGAGTGATGAGTGTGTTTTGGTTGGGACCTCCCAGAGTGCGTCACATTTACCCCAGTGCTCCCCCAGCCTGCTCCCCAGTCACGAGCCGTGGTGAAACAACCCTCCGGGGCGTGTTCAGGGAGGGAGCTTTATTAAAGGGAACAAGGGAGGGTAGTGGAGGGTCAGGGAAGAGGACATGCGGGATTGGAGGTATATGGAATTTATCCTGGGATAACTCAACATAGATTTACCCTAGGATAGCCTAACAGATTTACCCTAGGATAACCCAACATTTATCCTAGGATAACTCAAATATTTATCCTAGGACAACCAACAAAGGTTTATCCTAGGATAACCCAACAAATATTTATCCTAGGATAACCCAGCATTTATCCTAGGGTAACCCAACATTATCCTAGGATAACTCAAATATTTATCTTAGGATAACCAACAAATATTTATCCTAAGATAACCCAACAAAGGTTTATCCTAGGATAACCCAACAAATATTTATCCTAGGATAACCCAACATTTATCCTAGGATAACCCAATATTTATCCTAGGGTAACACAACATTTATCCTAGGGTAACCCAAAATTTATCCTAGGGTAACCCAACATTTATCCTAGGATAAAGTCATTGTACCGAGCCCTGAGGTTGCAGCAGGATCTTACTGCCCGACGCTTCACTTGGCATTTAAATATGGCCCCTCCTGGACTCACGGGATTGAGGAGACGGGTGCCACGGGGCCATTACTGAGGCTGGCACTGTAGGGATCACCAGAGCTCTCTGGCACTCCCTCATACAGTGCTTTATCCGTCACAAACTGTGGATAACTGTAATGTAGAATTTGTGAGTAAAATATATGATAGCGAAAGACAATATGCTTATAAATAGAAAAAAAAGAAGAGAAGCATGAGTAAAAATTATAGAAGAATGGATTAATCAATAAATAGAGATGAAACGGAGTAAGATAGAGGAATATAATGGAAAAGAAGGCTTGAGAATCGTGAATTTTAAGAGGTAAATTAACAGAAAACGGAGGTAATGAGAGGGCAGACCTCAGAATTATTTACTATTGTGGTGGTGTGTGATTTTTACGCTTGATGTGACCTGTGAAAGTGTCCTAGTTATTATATCATTATACTTAAGGTGAAACTTTGCGGTCATTGTTTGCTGCGGCCACACTAGCGGTTGAGAAACAGCCACAGCTCCGACTGTTTGATGTTTTGTAGTCATTGTGGAAGTTTGTGTTCTGTAATTGATCCTGAGATATTAAAGGTGATAAACGTGTGGCTAGAATACAAGGTAGTTGAGTAGTTAACATTGGGTGAATACGATCCAATTATGGATATATTAACATGTATAACTGAACCTTCGAAAATTGTGAACCTGTTGTTGAACTTTAATAATATCAGGTCGGGTTTTCTTTCACTTTCTCTTGGACCGGTAAGCCAACGGAAGGCCTCGGTCAGATGACCAAGAGCTCCAGCTGTGGGTCATGATATGACTAAAACCTGCGTCAGGAAATACTTGTCTTGTTTCTTGACAAACCTTACCTAACCAACCAACGTAATTAGTATTGCCATCAGAAGCGTCGCGTAGCTGGTGTGTGTTAGTACAATATGTGTCTTGTAGCACAAGGCTCAGATACTGTTGAGTTTCGCCTGACTATAATTGCGGTAGTTGTATCAAGCGTATGTATTGATTTCCTTGCTCTGATGATCATTTGGTTAGCAGTAAAGGACAGGGAACACGAGGTCACACGAGGAAGCAACAGTCACACAAGGGAACAGCGGTCACACGAGGTCACAGCAGTCACACGAGGGAACAGCAACCACACGTCATGGTGGGATTAAAGAAACAAGTGACGTGGAATTTGCCTCCGGAGCGACCTGAGTACGACGGTCAAAACGACGGTAAGAATGACACTCCCTTCACCAGTCGCTACAACGACAAACAGGAACAGCGCGATTACCAAGCCATCAGCAACGACAGTAGAAGCTGGACTAGGGAAGGAAACGACGCCAGTAAGCGAAATCAGTGGCAATAATGTTCCAGCGACTGTTGCCGTCCGAAACGACAGCAACAGTAGCTGGAACAGTGACCAAAACAGCGCCCATGAAGGCAATAGAAGCAAAAACAGCGCCCAGGACGACCATAACAACCAACACAAACACAAAAACAAAACCAACCGCAACAACAACACCGCTCGCGACAACAGTAACCGCAGCCGCGACCACCGAGAAATGGTCGACACGTTCGGATCCTATGGCTTGGCCGCGTCTTGGGCTGGCGACGACCCCGTGCTGGTGTACCTGAAGCAGCGCTACGGGTCGACTGACGAAGATGAAGTTCTGGTAGACAGCGCGGACGAGGTGGAAGTGGAGTCCCTCCAGGTGGAGATCGTCCACGCGACCTGCAACCTTCACGTGTTTACAGGTGTGGCAGAACAGGTGTTACTTGCTGCTTCTTGGGGCTCTCATAACAACACATGCTTACTGTTATTATTATTATTATTATTAGTAGTAGTAGTAGTAGTAATAGTAATATTTAATAAGTATAAGTTAATTTAATCTGTACCGTGTCTTAGCGCTTCTTTTTGATAATAATAATAATAATAATAATAATAATAATAATAATAATAATAATAATAATAATAATGTACCTTGTCTTAAAATAAGTCATTTACTAGGTACGTGAAGACGAAATACAAAATCGACTAAGTAGTATTTTCAGTCTTAATTCTTCCTCCCTACCCCGCTTTTTTTTTCTCTCTCTCTTCCTTCTTTTCATTTTCTTGCCACTCTTCATTCCCTACATTATTTTCCCTTGCTTCTTCCATCCTGGCGTTTGATTGCATCAGCCGTGGTAAGGCTCAGTTACTTAATAATTAAGATGGATGGTCTTTGAGTGGAACATCCATGCCTAACCTGCCGTGGGTTGGTGAGTTTATAATTGTCTCACCTGCAGGTAGGCCTCGTCTCACCTGCCTGGGCGGGGGAGAGCCTGGAGGAGGAGGAGGAGGAGGAGGAGGAGGAGGAGGAGGGGTGTGGGACTTGGGGAAGAGGGTGTGAGGTGTAGGGAGGAGAATATGAGGTATGAAGTGCAAGTGTTGGGAAGTGAGAACGAGGTATGAGGAGGAGTAAGGAGGAATGAGGTCTTCCCCCTTCCCCCTCTTCAACCTCCCATCCCGTTGCATTCCTCCCTCACTCCTCTCTCTTAACCTCCCTTCGCCTTACCCCAATTCCATTTCGTTTGATGAGTTTGACATATTTGCAGCACTTGGGTATATCTATTGATGTTACGTTTCGCCAGCTAGAGACTGTGGAAGTGGAGGGGTAATTTTGAGATGGTCAGTCCCTTAGCCTTGATGCGTGAGGATGATGACATATATACTGGAGCCAGAGGAGAGGTGCAGCAGTTGAGGATATCATCACAGATGGGAAGGTCCCATTAGTGGAAGTAAGTCATGTTCAAAAGCTGAGCCAGAAATAGCATGAGAGTATAAAAGATATCTTCTGTACCAAGATTCTGTCTTGATGATTGAGACACTTGAGCGACATTTGGGTATCTTTATTATGGACACGTTTCGCCAGCCAGTGGCTTCATCATTCCAGTGCATAAACGAAACGGTGGAAGATGAGGAGTTGGAGGTAATCAGTCCCTCAGCCTAGAGATGTGTTTCAGTCCATCAATCAAGATTCAGGGATTGAACACCTCAATCTTACCTCTCCACTTCCACTGTGTCCAGTCACATTTTCTGTATTGGACTTAAATATTCACAGGTTAGGGAAACATCTCACGAAAGATTCACAGGTTGTCGAAACGTCTCACGAAAGATTCACAGGTTGGCGAAACGTCTCACGAAAAATTCACAGGTTGTCGAAACGTCTTACGAAAGATTCACAAATTGGCAAAACATCTCAGCAACGAATCACTGCCAGTGATGGACATGTCTCGTCCATCAACTTGTGAATACTGTAGTACCAGTACCCCGAGGCCGGGCCCCTGCCCCTCTTCTCAGTTCCCCGTTTATGATAGTTAACGGCGGGAACAAAAGCTAACCGTATTCCCCCCCCCTTCCGTCATATATCATCACACACACTGATCTTGTATCCAGTTGTGTATAGTATGAAAATCTCTATATTTAATCCATCCTCGTCTCCCCCCCCTCATCACATATGGCGCAGGAGGGAGTGGGAAAACGAGGATGGAAGAATGATGGAAGGAGAAGAAAGGGGAGAGGTGAGGGAAGGGGGAGAGGAGAGGGAGGGAGGACGTAAGGAGTGTCGGTAAAACTCATAGTCTATCATTCCGTTAAGACAGTGATTAACCCTGCTGGGTTATTAGCGGTAATTGTGTGTGTGTGTGTGTGTGTGTGTGTGTGTGTGTGTGTGTGTGTGTGTGTGTGTGTGTGTGTGTGTGTGTGTGTGTGTGTGTGTGTATTCACCTGGCTGTGGTTGCGGGGGTCAGGTCACTGCTCCTGACTCCACTTCTTACTTAAACACTAACTGTCACACTTAATTCCTCACTGTTGGGGGTTCTTCCATACCTGCTGTTGAATCTGTATCCTAAACTCGCTAACACCAGGTAAAACAAATTGCGGATATAAATCCGGATGTACTCCTGTTAACCCTTTTGAGCCTAGTTCCTAGGTGGTGTTTTGTGTTTCCACATGTTCTCTCATAATCTACACTTGGAAAATCTTGGAAGGAATGGTCCCAAATCTGCACACAGAAATCACTCCCTACGAAAGTAAAAGACTGGGCAGGCGATGCTAAATGCCCCCAATAAAAAGTATGGGCGCCATTGGTACACTAAGAGAAAACACCATAAGTGTCCGGGGCCCAAAACTGTTCAACAGCCTCCCATCAAGCATTAGGGGAATTGCCAATAAACCCCTGGCTGCCTTCAAGAGAGAGCTGGACAGATACCTAAAGTCAGTGCCGGATCAGCCGGGCTGTGGCTCGTACGTTGGATTGCGTGCGGCCAGCAGTAACAGCCTAGTTGATCAGGCCCTGATCCATCGGGAGGCCTGGTCATGGACCGGGCCGCGGGGGCGTTGATCCCCGGAATAACCTCCAGGTAACCTCCAGGTTCTTGCGCCACGTCCGCGGGGTGGATGTGGGGCGCACAATAAACTAGTCACTTCTGTGGCAAAATCTAAATCTAGATCTGATAATAATAATCTAGATCTTAAACTGTATGGAATCTGCTTCTAGCACTTGCTCATACCGATCTTCAGTGTCTCGGCCACTCTCAGACTTAAGAAATATTTTCTGACATCCCATTAGTGTCTTTAGCGTCCAGAAATACATTTTTGTTCTTGATCTCCTGTCAGACTGCTGTCTGTTTTTTTTTTTTTTTTTTTTTTTACGTTGTGGTCATGTTCCGTCAGGTACTTCTCGATTATTATAATATTCATTTCCTTTACTCTTTCGCAAGTATCTCGCCTGAGCTCCGACACTTGTAACAGATTTTTGGATTGCATCAGTTTTCTGATCACTATATATGGAAAGTAAGAGGCTTGTCACATGGTGCTACATTATATTGTCAGTGGAAACCAGCGGAGCGATGACTACACTGGGAGAGAACTCAATTAGTGTAAAGGGACCAGAACTCTTCAACATCCTCCCTTCATACATAAGAAGGATTAGCAACAGACCTCTGTGTGTCTTCAAGAGGGAATTTGGTAAATTCCTCAAATCAGTTCATGATCAACCTGGTTGTGGTGCATACGTTCGGCTGCGGGCACCAACAGCCTCATTAATCAGCCAGCAATCAGAAAGTCTGGTCTGGGACCGGGCCTCGGGGTGTTGAACTCCGGCAGCGACTACAGGTAACCTACAGGTCATGTGCGGGCTTCCTGCTGGTGCTGTGTACACCTGTGGTGGGTCTAACATACATTGTATACGCGGTCGTTAGGAGATTACTTTTTTCTTTCCTTTAGATCTTTAATACCGTTCTTATCTTCGCTAGAGGCGCAGACGACGCCGTGGATAGTCAGACGGAAACCTCACCCAGCCTACCCAGACTTACTTAACCCCTTTATCTAACTCTAACATAACATAACATAACCTAACCTTTGCGTAACTTATCCTAACCTAACCTACCCAAAATTTTGTCTTTTTGAGATTTTTCTATCAGTTATTGGTCTGAGACGCATCTGTTGTGATGTTAGGTGTGGTGCCTTTAACAAGGGATCAGTGTAAATTTTTGCTGCAGACTTGTCAACAACTTGAGATGCAGTGTGAACATATAAGATTAATTCATATAAGACCCGCACTTAGGAGACTAAAGCTTATGACAACTTTTCGGTCCAAATTGGACCATTAACAAGGCGCTTGTTAATGGCCTAAATCGGACGGAAACGTGGTCATAGGTTTCTATCTCCTAAGTACGGGCGACTTGTACATTGTTTCAGCCATGATACTGTGATTTTTTGTTCTTGGTATGCCTTATAATTTAGTAACTCAATTTACTTACGAAAGAGTCTCCAGCTGTTTGTTAATGTTGGCCTTATCTCCTCCGTTAGTAAGAAGTGTGGATCTGTTATTATTGAATCGTCCTCTATTCAAATTTTATTGGTTTACAGTTCTGACGTACCAACAGTAACAACAACAGTAGTGTAACTAAAACATTATAATAGCAACATGGAAGACTGAATTGATTTATAATTAAATTTGTGGGCAGTATTAGGGGTGGGACACAATTAACCTGGTTGCTACCTGATCCGGTACCTAGGGCGAGCAAACCGGTTCTGAGCCTTGTATGATTTAATATTTTGAAACACGTTGTGTTGTGTGTGTGTGTGTGTGTATGACCAGGCGGACCAGCAGGGAGGCCTGACACCAGGCCGGGCAAAAGGAGTAGGACAAATTCTGGAAACAGGTCACAGGTAAATCACTAAAGCTCGTCTACCAACACCACTTCAACATTTCTTGCAACTTGTCTCTTTATATTATTTCTGTCTGGAAATCGCATGTAGGATGCAAGTTGGGGAACCTGGTTTCATCCCATATAAACCTTTTGTGAGCGAGGCCACAAGAAGTCTCCCCCAAACACCTGGCATAAATGGAGCAGGTGAGGCCACTACACCTGGCCCTCGCTTACCATATACGTCACTCAGCATCCCACCACCAGTGCCAATTATGTCATTCAAGCCAGCAGGATAATCGAACTGAGGTCTTATATAGATGAGTCGGCGCACATCAATACATAGGCGGCGACTCTTCAAGACAATAAAGTGTTTTATGAATAGATGGTTGCGCCGGCCGATAACACACGATAGTGTTGTGCACCAGCGCTGGAGGCACCATTAGCGCCTGCACACTAAGAGGCGTGTCTGTGTGTGTGTATTTCGTTCGGATTTTTAACCTCGGGGGGTTAGCCACCCAGGATAACCCAAGAAAGTCAGTGCGTCATCGAGGACTGTCTAA